TTTCTCACAAATCACCAACCCAACTTAACGACAGTTGATGTAGTTAGTGTTAGAGCCTCTGTTTGGTATTCCAGATGTTTTCTTCCAGTCGGTTTTATTAAATTTTTTTTTTGTTTTTTGTCTGGAATTTAAAATTTCTTTCAAGTCACATCAAATAGGTGTTCTGTTGAATTTTTAACTAAGCTGGAATTTTCGTCAAATTAATATTTAGTTGGTATAACAAAGATTCTTGTAGTGTTTCAAGAAGACATAGTCTGTGACTCTTTTTAATGCTCTATTTTTGCCAAGTTTGCTTTAAACTTATAGCGCCATTCAATTAAAAGTTATGCACTTCAGAGAATTAATTTTGCATGTATTAATGAGGTATGACGGGAAAATCTTTCATCAAATATGCTTCAACATTTCTTTGTCAAAAGTTTTTAAAGTTATTTTTATTAAATTTTTACAAAATTTTTAATAAATTTAAGTTTTAATTTTAATCAAAACTACTTTTGACCACGATGCAAAAAAATTTTAATATGTAATTTATTATTTCCCACTTTATGCTTCTTATAGAGCTGCCGTCGACCGCTTATTTCATTTTAAAAATTTAGGCATTCATCCAGAACTAAAATTGATATTTATAACAACGAGCCTGTCTGTCTCCATTCCACTGTGAAGATCATCACTTTATGGCAACCTGTCTCTTAAACCTGCCTCTTACATTTAACATAACTTTTCATCGCTCTTTGGCATGCTGCAGCATTATTTCGATTCTTACCATCACCGTGCAGAATCGAGAGAGCCGGCCGGCATGTGTCTCCTGTCAATGAACCCATGTTTCTGTCTAACAAACCATTGATCAAAGTTTTTGTCATATTCATTTGCGCTCAAACAAAATTTTTGTTTCAACCCTTGAAAAATTTGTATAATCAGATCGTCAGAAATCATCACGGTAGCCTGGAATCATCTATTAACTTTTTTGTGCTGGGGATTTTATATTTCAATATTTTTTTCTAACTATTAATTAATTTTAGTAAAATTAAAATATTACCGGAGTAATATTTAAATATTAAAATATTAAATTAATAATAGTTAAAATATTATTGAAGTGATGCGATCTACTTTATATTATAATCTTTTTAAATTTCATGGCTCATCATTATAATTTTAAACTTGTGTTCTGCTAAGCAGAAAATTAAATGTTCCATAAGATACATCATTCTAGAACATGTGATTTCATGTTATAACACGCACATATCAGCAACTAAAACAAAACAATAAACACAAACACATGCATGTACATCTTGGATGGCAGACAGACAGACAGTTAGACAGACAGACAGTCGGACAGCTAGACAGTTGGACAGACAGACGGACAGTTAAACTGGACATGATGTGCATTCGGTAGTAGACGAAGGGGGATGAATACATAGAATGCAACTAACTTCGGTTTATTGGTGTTTACGATACCTTCATTTTTTACCTACATTCTATAATTTCCTTAGCAATATGAATACCTATAAATTAAATATTTCCATTATATTATATGTATACAAATACATACATATACATATACATGTGCTTAGGCCTGTCTGTAGATTACTGTAACGAAGGTTAGGTTGGGTGGGTGTCAGTAACACGAATTTACTACAAGCACGTGGTTGTATGTGTTTTCAATGAGACGATGATGATGACGAATGTAATGGTGACATAATGGTGACTATGATGATGATGATGATGAGGATGACGATGATGAGGATGGCGACGACGATGATGGTGATGATGATGGTGATGATGACGATTTTGATGGTGATGATGATGGTGATGATGACGATTTTGATGGTGATGATGATGATGATCTGGGTGCTTACTACGATGATGATAATGATGGTGATGATGAGGAGGATTGTAACGTGATTACAATTCAATGTATAGAAATTAAAGATGATAATTTAAAATGTTACGCCGAAGCATTGGTGATAACAACAACAACAATCATCATTATTGATACCAAGCCACTGATAATGAAATGATGACCCGAATCGTGAGGATGATGATGGTAGTTATACATGTCAAAATGATGGTGAAGATCAATTTATTTGCCTGAACATCTTTTGAAAATGAAATGGTGAAGAGGTATTTGGCGCGAAACTTTAACGGAAATGTTGTTATGGCGGTAGTTAGCCATATTAATATTTTTACATTAAAAGTGCGAACCAACTTTTAAAAGTTATAAACTGTTGCTAGGTATTCTATTTAAAAAAAGATAAAACATCATCATTATCGTCATCCTCATTATTATCATTGTCACCATCATCATACCAACAATCACCGTCATAATCTTCACCATGATTGCCAACAATATCATCACCAGCAATATCATGATGATGACGATGATGGTAGTGGTGATGGTGGTGATGATGATGATGATGGTGGTGGTGATGATGATGATGATGATGGTGATGATAAGACCGATCATTTTTCACTTGTTATTTTGACTCATCAATAATGAAAATATAATAATAGATGAATCATTCAAAAATAATTTTTTTTTTTTTGTAATTTTTGCTTGCAAAAAACTCAACAATATCAACAATTTCTCAACAATATCATCACCAGCAATATCATGATGATGATGATGATGATGGTGGTGGTGGTGGTGGTGGTGGTAGTGATGGTGATGGTGGTGATGGTGATGATGATGATGGTGGTGGTGATGATGATAATGATGATGGTGATGATGATGATAAGACCGATCATTTTTCACTTGTTATTTTGACTCATCAATAATGAAAATATAATAATAGATGAATCATTCAAAAATAATTTTTTTCTTTTTGTAATTTTTGCTTGCAAAAAACTCCTAATTGCTCAACAATTTTGCTGAGTTTTTATAGAAAAAACTTTTTTCCTTTCGTGAGAAATTTTAATAAAAAATCCAAAAATTAAAAAAAATGTTCATTATACATACACACACACATACATACACACATGAACGCTTAATTGCAGTCAGTTAAACGACTAGACTTACAACACCTTTCAGTATTCTTATGATGCGGAACATTTGCTAACTAATATTAATAAGCATGTTGTTTGAAAGGTTTTTCTAAAACTGTATTTTTGTTGAAAAAATGCAACCAACAAATTAGTTTTTCATATACATAAATTAGCAGTATTATCATCAGCATTATCCTCGTTCAACGTTCCTATCATTACGCTAACAACCGCATATTTAAAAACAAGCTTAGATTCATTTGCAGCAGCGAGCAACATATTCATGGAAGGACAGGAAATTTAACACGAGCCTGTGCATTTTTATTCCATTTTATTCCATTTCCACAAAAATTACATAACGCAAATGCCTAAAATGTCTAAAAGGAAGGTTCGAAAATGTTCACAGCTGATGGTGATCGTAAATGGGATGCTGTTGTGTGTGTGTGTGTGTGTGGTGTGTGTGTGTATGTGTGTGTGTGAGGAGGAAAGGATCGCCCAGTTGCATTCCACTTTTCCATCCATCCTCTGACACGACGGTCAATTTTCGTTGACACTTATTAATTAATATATCTACAGAACACGCCATTCTTTCCAACTCTTTATTTCTTTCTCTCTCTCTCTTGTATCTTTCCTCCCCCATTTCCGGTTTTTCTCTCTTTCTCTTTCTCTTCTTTCTTTTTCTTTTTCCTTCCTTCTTTTATAAATTTTTAGCATTTTAAAGTTTTTCCTTATATTATATATGTTTGTGACGTACTTGCATGTAAACTTTTCTTCGCATGATATTTATCTGGACAATTAACAAACATATTAACTTACTAATAAGTAAATAGATACTATAGTAAATACTTTCAAACAAGACTGAAATCAAACCTTCTTATATATTTGAACTCTTTCATTATTGCAGAAAACATAAAATCAAATCAAAATAGATAAAATGAAATAAAATAGAATAAAATAAATTGTTAATATTGTAATAAATTGTTAATATTGTTATGCACAATCCTCCCATGCTCCTTGCCAAAGGTAAGTGCATAGGAGTAAGAAATATATTTTAAAAATCCTATCACAATAAATTCCGTATGATGAGCGAATGATAGTGTTAATTAGTCTTCCATCAAACGAAATTGGCCATGGTATTTGAAAGAGAGATAAGTTAAAATTATTAAAAAAACCTATTGGCGAAATTTCAAATGAATTTACTATTACAGAACAGTCATTGTTCAAATATGAATTTAGATTTTTGTATTTTTGACGCTTGTACTGTCTTGATGTCAGGAGGTTTATATACATATATACATATATATATATATATAATATATATATAT